TTATGATGCATCGTTGGTCCGGCGTACGACGGCGCCTGGTGCGATTTTTGCGTCCGGAAGCCCTTTCAGCCTCCCAGGCATGTCCCACCTGCCTCACAGCCGCCGACGCATCTCACGGCGGGGTTCTAATTGCGTGCGCGTATGGATGCTCCTATTTCTGCCGCCTTTCTTACAACTAGTTAATGTTATGATGCAACGTTGGTCCGGCGTACGACGGCGCCTGTGCGATTTTTGCGTCCGGAAGCCCTTTCAGCCTCCCAGGCATGTCCCACCTGCCTCACAGCCACCGACGCATCTCACGGCGGGGTTCTAATTGCGTGCGCGTATGGATGCTCCTATTTCTGCCGCCTTTCTAACAACTAGTTAATGTTATGATGCATCGTTGGTCCGGCGTACGACGGCGCCTGGTGCGATTTTTGCGTCCGGAAGCCCTTTCAGCCTCCCAGGCATGTCCCACCTGCCTCACAGCCGCCGACGCATCTCACGGCGGGGGTCTAATTGCGTGCGCGTATGGATGCTCCTATTTCTGCCCCCTTTCTTACAACTAGTTAATGTTATGATGCAACGTTGGTCCGGCGTACGACGGCGCCTGTGCGATTTATGCGTCCGGAAGCCCTTTCAGCCTCCCAGGCATGTCCCCACCTGCCTCACAGCCGCCGACGCATCTCACGGCGGGGTCTAATTGCGTGCGCGTATGGATGCTCCTATTTCTGCCCCCTTTCTTACAACTAGTTAATGTTATGATGCAACGTTGGTCCGGCGTACGACGGCGCCTGGTGCGATTTTTGCGTCCGGAAGCCCTTTCAGCCTCCCAGGCATGTCCCACCTGCCTCACAGCCGCCGACGCATCTCACGGCGGGGTTCTAATTGCGTGCGCGTATGGATGCTCCTATTCCTGCCCCCTTTCTTACAACTAGTTAATGTTATGATGCAACGTTGGTCCGGCGTACGACGGCGCCTGTGCGATTTATGCGTCCGGAAGCCCTTTCAGCCTCACAGGCATGTCCCCACCTGCCTCACAGCCGCCGACGCATCTCACGGCGGGGTCTAATTGCGTGCGCGTATGGATGCTCCTATGTCCTGCCGCCTTTCTAACATCTAGTTAATGTTATGATGCATCGTTGGTCCGGCGTACGACGGCGCCTGGTGCGATTTATGCGTCCGGAAGCCCTTTCAGCCTCACAGGCATGTCCACCTGCCTCACAGCCGCCGACGCATCTCACGGCGGGTGGGACAATTGCGTGCGCGCGTATGCGATGCTCATTCCTG